TTCATAAAAAGAACTGAATGGGTCCTTCCTCACATTGTACAGCAAAAACTAATCTCTACTAGAGTCCCCACATTCTATAATGACGAAATGAATCAAGAAAGGCGGGATATAAATCAGGAGACTTAAGTAAAGTGGCTCAAAGCACCTACAATTCTGAACATAAAGAAGAACTGTATGTCATTTTTATGGTACTAATGGACTTCATGGACCCTCTCAATATAGGTACTGACTCTCAATATGCAGAAAGAGTTGTTTTACATATTGAAACTGCTTGAATTCATTCCTGGTGAGTCAGAATTAACTTCACTATTTATACAATTACAGGAAATAATCAGAAACAGGGAACATCCTATATATATAAAACACACATCAGATCCCATATGGGTCTGTACAAGGTAATGATGAGATTGATCAATTATTAGTAGGTAATGTGCTAGAAGCCTCAGAATTTCATAAGAAACACCATGTAAATAGCAAAGGTTTGAAAAGGGACTTTTCCATCACTTGGCAGTAAGTCAAGGAAATTGTAAAAAAATGTCTTACTTGTTCCTTCTATAACCAAACTCTATTACCTGCAGGAAGCAATCCTAAAGTTATACAAAGAAATGAAATTTGGCAAATGGATGTGTTTCATTTTGCAGAATTTGGAAGATTTAAGACTGACAATGTGGGCTGGAGAGATGGTTCAGCAGTTACGGGCACTGATTGCTCTTCCAGAGGTCCTAAGTTCAATTCCCAGCAACCACATGGTGGCTAACAACCACCTGTAATGAGATCTGGTGCCCTCTTCTGGCCTGTAATCAAACATGCAGGCAGAACACTATACATAACAAATAAATAAATCTTAAAAAAAAAAAAAAAAGACTGACAATGCTCCAGCATATGTCTCAAATAAAATGAGATCTTTTTTACTTATTACAATATAAAGCATGTTACAGGTATACAACACAATCCCACAAGCCAAGCAGTCATAGAAAGATCCAATCAAACTTTAAAGGATATGCTAAATAAACAGAAAGAGGTAACAATGACTCCTAGAAATAGATTACATAATGCTTTATTAACCTTGAATTTTCTCAATGCTGATGAGAAAGGGACAACAGCTGTGGAGAGACATTGGACAACAAAAAAACCCTTAAGCTAAACTAACCAGTTTACTTCAAAGATATGTTGACCTCGGAATGGAACCCAGGATACATCCTATGTTGGGGAAGGGGTTTTGCTTTTTTTTTTTTTTTTTTTTTTTTTTTTTTCGAGACAGGGTTTCTCTGTGTAGCTTTGCGCCTTTTCCTGGAACTCACTTGGTAGCCCAGGCTGGCCTCGAACTCACAGATTCGCCTGGCTCTGCCTCCTGAGTGCTGGGATTAAAGGCGTGCGCCACCACCGCCCGGCTTCGGGTTTTGCTTTTGTTTCTGCAGGAGAAGAAAAGCTATGGATACCAAGAAAATTAATTAAAATTTGCTTCGAACAGGAGAAACCCCTCGACGAGGAGAAGGAATAGCTCATCCACCAATGTGACAATTCTACAAGTTGTAAGGAAAAACTCAACAAACAAGGGTCAGGTAGGGTTCTGTTTTTTGTCTTTACAGGATAATAGGAATACCCATCTTCAAGAAATCATAAGGCCTTGGACACCTAGATGTCTACTGCATAAAGGAAGGACATATTGGTACCAATATACTCCACAGGGTAATATCTCACTGCCTAACATCTATATCTCTTTAACCCTAGAAAAGTTGTGGTCCCGATTCAATTATAAATCAAGCTGGCCAGGTAGTAGTGGTGCACGCCTTTAATCCCAGCAGAGGCTGGCAGATCTCTGTAAGGTTGAGGTCAGCCTGATCTACAGAGAGTTCCAGGATAGCCAAGGATACACAGAGAAACCCTGTCTCGGAAAAAACAAAACAAAACAAAACACAGAGAAACCCTGTCTTGGAAAAAAACAAAACAAAACAAAAACAAACAAAAAACAAAAACAAAAAATTAATCAAGCTGGCTTTGGAGCTGAACTGTGGCTCTCTCCTCTAAACCCAAGAATATTGCTAAAAGAAAAATTAGGAGATTCTGTCTCATATCAGAAGAGTCGACTGGTGTGAGAAAGAAGAAAACCAATAATCTATGGATCATTGTTGTCAAGTTTCAATTTCTCTCCATGCTTATCCTTGATTTCTGGGAATCCTTCCTCAAATCACCCTAAATCCAAACTGTCCATTTTGATATTAATAATGTTCAAGTTTTCCACAGTGAAAATAGCAATCTCTGAAGTCTCCAGAAGAAAGATGGGGCCCCACAACAAGGACTCTACTCAGTCCAGAAAGATGCCATCGTACCTAAGAACATACTTAATGATCAGCCTTGAACTGATAGTTCGTCAGGACAGTTCCAAGATGAGATGGTCTATCATACTACACTTCTAGCCAGAATCTCAAGACAATCTTACCCATTACTCTGAGACTGGCTGCAAACTCTACAGTTAGTCCTATTGAGACCTAACTATCTGAGCTTTCTTACAGGACCCCGTAGAGATATTGTTGCCCCCTAAACAGCAGGAAGCAATCCTAAGAAAATGACGCTCCTCTCCCAAAGGTTTCATTTTTCTCAGCGTTATGGATGAATGGTTATAGGATTGGGGGTGGAACAATAAAATTTAGACTCAGTATTCTGCTTTAGAAAAGAAAAAGGGAATGGATAGGTATAGTATATTAAGGTAGATCATTATATCTACTAGTAAACTTATTTAGCAAATTATCAGCCTTGGATAATTTGCACTAATATGAATTCTTGTATATTTGATACAAATGTAAACTATTCTTATATTCCTATTTAAGATAATTTGTATATTGATACAAATACAAAATTATATTTGTTGTATTATACATATATTTCTATTCCTGTTTGAAATATTTTATATATTGATACAAATGCAAAATTATATTTGTCATACTGTATGTATGCTCTACCTGTGTTTAGGATATTTTGTATATTGGTACAGATTTAGGATATTGTTATCATATTGCATTATACATTTCTACCTCCATTTAAGATATTTTGTATATTGTCACCATTTTGAGGTCATTGTCCTTATATGGTACATCTGTTTACAGACTGTTAATGTGAAGCCTTAGTCCTTAGGTTATTTAGGTAGATAAAACTTACAGAACTATAGTCATCCATGCTTGTCACTTCTATACTTATGTTAGTTAGGTTCTCCAGATTTACAGAAACATATGTCAGATGGATAGGTAATCTTCAAATACTTCATAGACCTAGAGACTATGACATTTAAATGTTTCGATAACTTAGAATTCTGTTGACATGAAACACAATTGCTCCTGGCAGCACAGATCTGATCCTGAGAAAATGTTGGGCTTCTAAGACATTTCCATTTGAAGTTTGACTTCTTCTTGGCACAAATTGGCCTGCTGGGCAAAGAACTTCCCTTGCTTAGACTGCTGACAGTATGAACACTGCCCTTTCTGGACAAACAGGACACAAGAAAAAGTGACTACTGAACTCTGCGAAGACAGGGTAAGATGGTCTTTCAAAATTCCTGCTTCTGAAAATGGTCTGTCAGATATTCTAGGCCTGGTGCCAAACTGGATGCCCCAGTGATACTGAGAAACTTTGGGTGACTGTGCAGGCTGCCAGCTGTCTCTGTCTATTCTCGCAAGATTTTCAGAAATTGCTTGCTTGCATTTTCCATTTTTTCTCAGGTATTATTATGTTCCTTCTCAGGTCTTTGATAGAGTTGAAGACTAGATAGTTACAGTTACAATCTTCTCATATCTTACCTAGAACATATTAAGTACTAGAGTTAGAATCTTCAGGATAAGACAGCTATTGGAGTAATCTTGGTAATTTGCCATTTACCTATGATCTGGACATTTCTGGACATTTAGCATGTCTTTCTAGTTTGCTGTTGTTCTTGTGGTTGTAGTTCCATTTTTGTTATGTTATTACCCTTTGTTTTTCCTGGACAATACTTGATAATCATTCTTTTAGTATATAGTTTGCACTAAGTTTAGAACAGTCTTATTAAGACAAAAAGTGGAAATGTAGTAGTATTTCCACCCATGACCTTGGGCTATAGGGCCTGAAAGAGGAAGTGCTTCTTGCCATTGTATGTCACCACTTAAAAGGAAAGGGAGAAGGGTCATGAGCCCCTTCTCCCTGCTTCCTGGTGTGATCAAAGTGCCAGGTGGATTCGCTCACAGTCAGATCAGAGGACAACTGTGGTGATACTTTATTTGTATGTTAATAAATAAACTTTGCCTGGAGATCAGAGGAAATAGCAAGCCATTTTAAGTAAACACAAAGTCAGGCAGTGGTAGCACACACCCTTAATCCTATCACTTAGCAGGCAGGGTCTCTGTGTGTTTAAGCCCACACTAGGGAACACAGCCAAGCATGGTGACACAGGCCTTTAATCCCAGTACCAACCATAGAGAGCTGGAAGTCTGTACAGACAGGCAGTGACAAGGAAGTGAGGGAGCTGAGCTAAGAGCCAATGAGAAGACAGAACAGCAAGGCAATAAAAGTCTGGGTAGACAAGAAGTCATGGCACTTTGGAATCTGTGGCGTGGTGAGGTAAGGTTAGCTGGTGGCTATTCCTATTTCACTGATCTCTAAGGCTTTCACCCCTATTTTTGGTTCTGTGTTTTTTATTTAATAAGACTGCTTAGAAATTTGTCTACAGATGACCTCAGCTGTCTATTCTGTTCTGAATTCCTGAGTGTTTTTCCTCAATTTACCCTAATACATTTCTCTAATTCTCCTTAACCAGACTCCCGTGGATTTATCGCATAATCACACATACATATACAGACATTGAGCATTTGGGAAGTGGATATAGGAGGAACAGGGTTCAAAGGCAGCAAACACACAAGTGAGTTCAAGGCCAGTCTAGGCTCCATAAGACCATTCCAGAAAAAAAAAAAAAAAAAAGACCATGCCAGAAACAAAACCAAAGAAAACATTTCAGTTTAGAAAAGATCTTTCACCTGAAGCCAACAGAGTTTCCCATGGCGACACACATTAGCTCCTTCTGCAGCCACACTCAAGACATTCTGCTTCTTGATGTGGAGCATCTGTTAAGAAAAGGAACACACCTTTAATCCCAGCACTGGGGCTACACAGAGAAACCCTGACTCAAAATGATAGATAGATAGATAGATAGATAGATAGATAGATAGATAGATAGATAGATAGATAGACAGACAGACAAACAAGAGGGTTTCATATACCTTCAGGCTGGTCTCCAACTAAGTCACTTAGCCCACGTTAGTCTTATCCTCCTGGTTGTTCTGTTTCTAGTACTGACATCATAAGAATGTGTCAAACACCCAGCTTGGGTCATCTCTGTGTGTGTGTGTGTGTGTGTACATGTTCACTTGTGAGTATGTGTGCACACATTCATTTGGAGGACAGAGACCCATGTTTGGTGTCTTCCTCAGTCACTTCCCATCTTACATTTGAGACAGGTTCTCATTAAACACGGAGCTCACTGATTTGGTTGGACTAGCTGGCCAGCAGCTCCAGGAATCTGCCCGTCTATGCCTCCTCAGCAGTAAGGGTACAGACGTGCATGCTCCCTGCCTTTACCTCGGTGCTGGGGATCCACACTCAGGCCTTCATGCTTGCATAGAAACCATTTTGCTGACTAAGGCATCTTCCCAGCTCCTGGGTCATGTTTTGTTGTTTTTCCTTCCCCCAAGTCAGGATTTCTCTGTGTAACAGCCCTGGCTGTCCTAGATCTCACTCTGTAGATCAAGTTGACCTCAAACTCAGAGTCCACCTGCCTCTGCCTCCCAAGTGCTGGGAAGGCGTGCGCCAACACCTCTGGGTATTTTTTTTTCATCTTTTTAAATTTACAACTTTGACTAACACAAACCAGAGTTTTCACTTATACATATAAATTACCACTGAACATATTTGTTCCTCAGTTTAGTTTTAGCAGAAGTGTAAACACATAACTGGAAGATAAATCACTCAGACCTCAAATGCTAATGAAAAAAAAACCTGCTAAAAGTCAGCTCTCCCTTTAAAGACATACATATGACAGGCATGGTGGTGTCCATCTGTCTTCCCAGCTACTTTGGAAGATAGGGCAGGATTGCGTTGGAGGACAGGCTGAGAAAATTATGGAGACTTTGTCTCTGAATCAGTAACAAATTAAAATGACTCACGCAGCCCCAATTATAAGTTTATATACAACAGAAATGTCAGTGACTCTCCTGAAGTCCGTTTATGAACATGAGGATAGTTACTTCCTTTTTTTAAAATCACTGAGATTATACCTAAACACCATCCTGAGTAGTCCTTAGAAAATGGGAGTCAGACATCCTGTCTTGGTCCTGGGGGTCGGGGGTTTGGGAAGATGCTGTAAGGAAATCGGTTAGTCAATGTTGTCTTAATATTGTTGACAATTCTGTAAAGTTCCTTTTTATGACTATTTCTGTTTAAGCTATTTCACCTTTCGTTTTGAAATCCTTCCCTTTTAAGGAGAAAATGTGACATTGTGAAAATGCCTGTAGGAAAGCCCCTCTTCCCCTTTTCCTTTTAATGACAAATCTAGGTGATTAAGGTTGTGAATTTTTATTTTCGCTTTGTTGTTAATGAGCATTTGTCCTTCAGAATAGGACTATGTGATAATGTTTAAATGGCAAAAACAAAACATGATTTTGTGCAATTAACAAAGCTACTGCAAGAAAAAAGAAAAATAAAACATTTCTTGGTACCACAAAAAAAAAAAAGAAAAGAAAAGAAAAGAAAGTGGGGGTCAGGGGCTGGGTGTGTTGATGGCCTCCTGTAATCCAGGTGGAGAGAGGAGAATCAGGAGTTCAAGATCAACCTTAGCTACAGAGGAAGTTAGAGGCTGCATGGGGTACATGAGCCCGTCTCAAAAATCAAATTGCTGCCAGGCAGTGGTGGCATACGCTTATAATCGCAGCACTTGGGAGGCAGAGGCAGGCAGATCTCCATGAGTTCGAGGCTAGCCTGGTCTACAGAGTGAGTTCCAGAAAAAACAGGGCTACACAGAGAAACCTTGTCTCAAAAAAACAAAACAAAAAAATTCCAGTTGCTATCCCTAAAAGGTTGGCCAGCCTGGCATGGTGGCACACTGAATGAAGCTCGATCCAAATCAGTCTTAATAATAAAAACCAGGAGTCAGATATCAGGGTGAAAGATCAGAGAAGCAGAGCAGCAGCCACAAGAGACTTTTTTTTTTTTTTAGGTTTTTTTTCGAGACAGGGTTTCTCTGTGTAGCTTTGCGCCTTTCCTGGATCTCGCTCTATAGACCAGGCTGGCCTCAAACTCCTGCCTCTGCCTCCCAAGTGCTGGGATTAAAGGCGTGCTCCACCACCGCCCGGCTCACAAGAGACTTTTATCTCTAAGAAGTCTCCGACTGAATAGGGCGTCCTGTCTCTATGAATCCTCAGACTGAATGGGCGAGATCCTATCTCTACCTGCCTTATATTCCTGTCTCCACCTTTCTAGTGCTGAGATTAAAGGCATAAGCCTCCACCGCCCTGTTTTTTATTAGACTGGTTCAATCTTGTATAGCCCAGGGTGGCCTTGAACTCCTGATCTTCCTGCTTCTTCCTCCCAAGTGTTGAGATTAAAGGTGTGTGCCACCCCTGCCTGACCCCTATGGTTAACTAGTGGCTAGTTCTGCCCTCTGATCTACAGGCAAGCTTTATTTGTCAGAACACAAACAAAATACCATACAACATTAGTGGTTCTCTCTTCTAAACCCAAGCATGCTTGTTAAAAGGAAAACTCAAAATCTCTGTCTTATGTCAGAAGAGCTACCTGATAGGGGCCGAAGAAAAACCAAAATTCAGGGACTATTCTATCACTACTAATCTCATGATCCTTTGGTTTCATTTTATTATTAAAACTTTTCTTAAGGTATGAATAGTATATCAAAATTTATAAGATTTTTTTAAACTTTTTGTCATGATCCTAAAGGTTATATAGAGTACTAAAAAAAGGGTATAGAGTTCTAGAAAAAGGGCTTCATCTAGCTTCCTGAACATGATTTCATGTTTGAATCTCTATCAAGTAACTAGGAATTAAGTTTTTGTACACTGGATGTTTATAACAAATTATGGTCCTTTAACCTCTTTGAGATCTGCTGCATATGACATTTAAAATGTTTAAGTTCACTGGAGTGAACCATGACCATGCCTAACAGCAACCTTTGAAGTCTCCAAAAGGAGGATGGGGCCCCATTACGATGATTCCACCTGGACTATGGTGACGCCACTAAGCTGAAAAACACCACTCGAAGATCAGCTTTGGACTACAAACTGCTCAGGACAATTTCAAGATGGCTAGCTGAGATGATCCAGCGTCACAGACTACTCTAGCCAGAACTTGAGACAGGACCTGCACTTTCCCATTACACAGAAACTGGACAACAAATGGTATCGCTACCTCTCCCAAGACTTGACAATTATCCTAATTTTTTTCAGGGTCCCCTAAAGATGCTGTCTCCCCCAGACAGCAGGAAGTATTTTAAAGAACATGAAGCCCATATTCCCAAGAGGAGGGGTGGGCAGTTTTTTTTGGTCATTCAGTGGGTTATGGATAATTGTCATCATTTAGGGGAGTTGGTTACAAGTTGTTACTGGTAAATGTCAGGAAAAAGCTGAACAAAGGAGATTAGATTCAGGGATCTCACTCTAAAAAGAAAAAGGGGGATATAGAAATAGGATAAAAGGGTAGATTACTGAATCTACTTCTAAAAAGCAACTACTAGTTTTAAATATTTTATATTGGCTTGGATTTTTGTATATTGATACAAATTTCAGGTAATTTTTTGTTATACTGTATATATGTCATAGAAATAATAGGATAAAAAGGTAGATTATTACACAGAGAAACCCTGTCTTGAAAAAAACAAAAAAAGGTAGATTATTGAATCTACTTTTAAAAATGCAACTACTCGTTTTAAATATTTTACAGTGATATGGATTTTTGTATAATGACACAAATTTAAGATTATTTTGGTTAGAACATACTGTACATGTGTTTCTACTCTTGTTCAAAGTATTGTACCTATACAGCTCATCTAACAATGTAATGTAAATTTCATACATCCCTATAATCTTACTCTGAAGGGGCTGAGGTAGGAGATATATCTGAGCTCAAGGCTGGAATGGACTATTTGCTACAGCCTTTCTCAAAAATAAGTAAACAAGGCCGGTGAGATGGCTCAGTGGGTAAAAGTGCCTGCCATACAAACCTGGTGACCTGAGCTAGTTCTGGGCTACCCTGGGCTAGCACTAACTGAGCAGACCTAAAGACCTGAGTTTCATATAAGGTTGATACAGTAGTGCACATCTGTAACCCCAGCATTCTTTCTGTGATGGGTGACAGAGACAGGAGAACTGACGAGAAGCTCTGGGTCAGCTGTCCTGGACACAGCACGGTAGCAGAAACGAGCTACCCTGCCTCAAACAGTGTGCAAGAGGAGAACTGACTCCTGAAAGATGTCTGCTGACCTCTACACACTCGCCATGGCACTCATGCCTGCACATACATACATACATACACACACACACACACACACACACACACACACACACACACACACACAAATAAAAGTAAATTTTAAAGCCACCAAAGGGGCTGGAGAGAGAGTTCAGTGGTTGAGAGCTGGCTTTCTTGTAGAGGATCTGGGTTTGATTTCTAGCACCCACATGGCAGCTCACAACCATTTGTAACTCCAGTTCCAGAGGATCTGATGACCTCTTCTGGACTCCATAGGCATTGTGTGAATGGGATGCACAGACATACATGTAAATGAAACACTCATACACATAAGAAGAATATTTTAAAACCTGTTTAAGCCCGGGAGTGGTGGCACACGCCTTTTGTCCCAGCACTCGGGAAGCAGAGACAGGTGGATCTCTGTGAGTTCGAGGCCAGCCTAGTCTACAGAGCGAGATCCAGGAAAGGCTCCAAAAACAACATGGAGAAACCTTGTCTTGAAAAACCAAAAAATAAAAATAAATAATAATAATAATAAAACTACCAAAATACTGTTAATAGGGAAAACATCAAAGGTCTTAAAATCAATTTGTAAGACACAGACACGATATCTATAGAGAAGACCACACTGTAAATGATTGATAGTACTTACTGCAGCACCAAACTTCTGCTGGAACTGACCAATGACTGTGTATGTCACCTCCTCTTCCTCTACAAGAGAAGGATGGCACTGAATGTATCTCTCTTCCTTGACAAGAGAATGGCCCTCTTGCTAATTTTAGACATACTCCTTATCACCTGTTCAGTCCTCACACATCAAACATGGTGAGTACTCGTTACTACCGTTTTGTCAACTGAGAGTAAACCAGAGTCCCACCAAGGATAATCTTACAAACTGAATAGTCTATCATTCCTGTCATAATCCAGTACTGATTCTCTCTTCCTAGGTTTACATACTGAGTATACACTAAGGCCTTTCTGTAGAGATTAATCTAATATTATGTATGCATGTGTATGGTGTGTTGGGTGTGTGAACACACGCTCACATGAATGTGGAGATCATAAAACAATTCTGTAGATTGGGTTCTCTCTTTCTACCTTTATGTGGGTTCTGGGGATTGAACGCAAACCATCCAGCAAGCACCTTTACCCACTGACACATCCTGCCTGCCCAAGTCAAGCCCTTTAAAAAGATATTTCATAACAAAAAGTAACAGTTTAGGGCTGGAGAAATGGCTCAGAGGTTAAGAGCACTGACTGCTCTTCCAGAGGTCCTGAGTTCAATTCCCAGCAACCACATGGTGGCTCACAACCATCTGTAATAAGGTCTGGTGCCCTCTTCTGGTCATACATGCTGTATACATAATAAATAAGTAAACCTTTAAAAAAAAAAAAAGTAACAGTTTAAAATAAATGTTAACACTGCTGGAGTTTTTAAGTCTTTTTATTATTATTATTATTATTATTATTATTATTATTATTATTATTATCTTTTTTGAGATAGGGTCTCACATAGTCCAGGCTAGCCTTGAACTCATTAAGTAGCTGAGGATGCCCTTGAACTTCTGATCTTCCTGCCTCTACTTCCACAGTTTACCCATCTGATGATTTTGGGGATGGAACCCAGGTCATTGTTAACATGACTAAAGTATCTTATCCTGAGTTACATCCCTAGACTCTACCTTAAGAGTTATTTTTTTGGTGGCTGTCTTGGTTATGGTTACTATTCTACTGCTGGGAAGAGACACCATGACCAACTAAACTCTCATAAAAGGAAGCATTTAACTGGAGGCTTGTTTACAGTTTCAGAGGGCTCGTCCATTATCATCACGGCACGGCACAGGACAGTAAGCATGGAGCTGGAGCAGGAGCTGAGAGTTCTACATTCTGATCCACAAGCAGCAGGCAGAGAGACAGTGTGCCTGGTGGTGGGCTTCTGAAACAGTAACGCCCACCCCCAGGACACACCTCCGTCAAGGCCACACCTCCTAATCGTTCAAACAGTTCATCACCTGGGACTAAGTACAAATACATAAGCTACTGGGGCATTCTCATTCAAACTGGCATAGTTACTGAATGGTTAAGAGTTTTTGCTGTTTTTCCAAAGGACCTGAGTGACTCCCAGTGTCCCAGTCCATTTCCTGTTGCCTTCTGATCAAAATGTCTGCCTTCATGCTGCCAAGCTCCCCGCCATGATGATAATGGACTGAACCTCTGAACTGTCAGCTGCCACCTCAATTCAATGTTTTCTTTTATAAGAGTTGCCGTGGTCATGGTATCTCTTCACAGCAATAGAAACCCTAACTAAGACAGCCTCTCAAGATAGTTCAGTTAGTTTAAAGGCGTGGGAGCAGTTGACCTGTTCAATCCCCAGGCCTACATGGTGGAAGGCAAGAAGCAACTTTTGAAGTTGTCCCGACTTCCTCAAGAGCCAGGATGCACACACGCACACACTCACACACACGCGCACACACACACACGCGCACACACACACACACACACACACACACACACAGACACACACACACGCACACACACAAATCCTTTATTTCCTAATCTCTGTAGTGCCACAGGACAACAATCCTCCTCTTCTTTTGCATTTATACACGCTCTCTTTCGCTCGTTTCAAGGTTTTAAAAACTGTCTATTGGTTGATTCCTGAAGCTCTCTTTCCATATGAGACTTCTCATCTCTAGGCTACGGTTTCTATTTGGGGACAGGGCTTCACTATGTAGCCCATGCTGTCCTCCACTTACAATCTTCCCAGCAATATATAATAACCTGAGTGCCAGCATCCTGGCCTTTAACCAAATTTAAATTGACCGAAACTGAATGTTACAGTTGGTTTTAATGTAAACTTGCCACAACAGCCAGGCAGTGGTGATGAACGCCTTTAATTCCAGCACTCGGGAGGCAGAGGCAGGCGGATCTCTATAAGTTCGAGGCCAGCATGGTCTACAAATCAAGTTCCAGGAAAGGCTCCAAAGCCAAACAAAAAAACCCTGTCTCGCAAAAAAAAAAAAAAAATCGCCACAAATTAGAATAACCTGAGTAGGGCATCTTACCAAACAACGGTCCTTATTGCCTTGACTGACGGGGGAAGGCCCACCAAATTGTGGGTGGATCTTCCGGTAGCAGCCCAGATAAAGCATATATCAGAAGGGAGAGTAATTTGGTCTTTTGCTGGCTTGGTCTTCCTCCTGCTGCCGAGTTAATCTACCCTGCTGCTGCTGATTCCTTCATTGGTATCAGAACCAGCATTTCCAAGCTTTCATTATGGACTAGGGAACCAGAGGCTTTCCAGGAAACTTATGGGCTTCTGGCACCAGACTGGGACTACTGAGGCACCCTGCCCTGTGTAACTAGCGGCTGTTGCCCCCTGACCAGTGAGACACAGCTATTATGGAACTACTCCAACTGGGGAAGCATTTAGCCTCAAGGAACTAGTAACTACCGGATTCTCAACTTTTCAGTTGTGACTTATCTGTTGTTACTGACTTGAGAAATTCATTCATACTTAGTCTCCATCCATCTATCCATCTATCCATCGAGCCATCTATCTATCTATCTATCTATCTATCTATCTATCTATCTATCTACCTATCTACCTCATTTTACTGATTCTGTTCCTCTAAAGAACCCTGTCTAATTCACTGAACTTCTGTTCAGGTCTCCAAAACCTTTTCTGCATACAGCTCTTCTCATCTTAGTTTATACAACTCTCTTCATACTTGCAGATGCTAAGGTTCAAACCCCTAAAATCATCTTTGATTCCACGTTATCCTTGCACACCCCTATCTATCTAGTTTGTCAGGATATTCCGCCCCACCTTCAACACACATCTAAAAGTACAGTGCTTCCTACCTACTCTACTGCTACCACTGGAGTCGAGGGCACTGTCCTGATTGGTTTCCCATATTTCAAGCCAATGAGATGGTTCACTGTGTAGGCACTTACTACAGAGCCGGAGAGCCTGAGTTCAATACAGGATGCACATGGTGGAAGGAGAGAAACCCTTCCCTTCAAGGTGGCTCTCTACCACCACATGAATGTCATGACACACATATATCCCCACACACAAATACATGTAACTGAAAATTAAAAACATAAGCTGTGCAGTGGCACACGCCTTTATCCCAGCACCCAGGAAGCAGAGGGAGGCAGATCTCTGTGAGTTTGAGGCCAGCCTGATCTATAAAGTTCCAGGACAGCCAGGACTACAGAAAAAACCCTTTTTCAAAAACACTATTATATATATATATATATATATATATATATATATATATCTCATTATTATTAAACTATATATATTAAACTCAATATATATCATTGAGAAGGAAGATCAGGCATGGTGTCCTTGTTTGTTATCTTAACACTAAGGAGACTGTGGCAGGAGGATTGCCTTGAGTTCCAGGTTATCGTGGATGACAGTGCGAGACAGAATAATGAAAAACAAAGAATTATAATTTCTTCACTAAACTGTCTAGATGTGTTTGTTTGTGTTGTTGGTTGGTTGGTTTTTTTGAAAAAGGGTCTCTCTAGCCCAGGCTGGCCTCAGTCTCTTAGTAATGGGATTAAAGGTGTATATCACAAAAACTAATTTTTATTTTTTGTTTTTTGAGACAAGGTTTCTCTGTGTGGCTTTGGAGCCTTTCCTGGAACTCATTCTGTAGCCCAGGCTGGCCTCAAACTCACAGAGATCCACCTGCCTCTGCCTGGGATTAAAGGTGTGCACCACTACCTCCTGGCTACATTTTTTTTTTTTTAAATGAAAAACCAAAACCCCAAAAGCTCTTCAGTACTTTGCTTCCTTTCTCTCTTCAGAGTCCTATGCCCCTTTAATGGTCCATAAATTTCTCAGTGACCCATCAATCCACCTCATCACCTATTCCTTCTTCTGCTCCATAAATAATGATTTCCTTGCTGATGCTTCGATATCTTGGCATGTCCTACCTCTAGAGCCTTTATATTTTTCTTTTCTCAGTTTAAATACATCTCTCAGCATGTGCTGTATCTCATGCCTATAACCTCAGTCTCATAAGGGCCCAAGGCAAGATTGTTGAAGAGTTTGAGGCTAGCCTGCTAGCTACAGAATGAATCCTGGGCTATAGGAGTGAGACCCTATCACAAAACAACAAAAACCAATTTAAAAATTGGGCATGGTGGCAGGGGATCTGAGTTCAAGGCCAGCCTGGTCTACATAATGAGTTCCAGGACATCCAGAGCTATATATTGAAACCCTGTCTCAAAACAAGAGCCTGGCCGGGCGGCGGCGGCGGCGGTGGTGGTGGTGGTGGTGGTGGTGGTGGTGGTGGTGGTGCACACCTTTAATCCCAGCACTCGGGAGGCAGAGCCAGGTGGATCTTTGTGAGTTTGAGGCCAGCCTGGTCTACAGAGCGAGATCCAGGAAAGGCGCAAAGCTACACAAAGAAACCCTGTCTTGAAAAACCAAAACAAACAAACAAACAAAAAAACAAGAGCCTGGAGTGGCGGCGCTTGTTTTTAACCCTACCACTTGGGAAACTGATGTCAACCTGGGTACATAAGGAGTACCACAGCAGCCAGGACTATCTATGACTAGACTGTGGCTCAAAACAAAGAACAAAGGGAGGCATTTCTCATGACATCCAAACAACTCGATGCCTCCCTCCTTTAGGCCTTTACGCTAATGTTACTACTTCAGCAAGACCTGCCCTGGACACGAGAAAACTTAGAAAGTACATGATCCACAAGCTTACTGTTCGGCTATTCTCAGCATGTGGTAATAGAGTACTAGCATTCTATATATTTTACTCATTTTTTCTTTTTTGAGACAGGGTCTCCTATACCCTAGACTGTCCTCAAACTTGCTATGTAGCCAATTTTATCCTTGAACTCTTGATCCTCTTCTACCTCTTAGTGGTGGGTTTACAGGTGCAGTATGGCACATATTTCCTACTCATTCATCTTATTTAGCATCTTTTGTATCAGAGCTCAGTGAGGGCAGCATCCCCAATCCTGGCAAACAGTATGCATTCCCATGTCAACTAAACACATAATTTATAATACTTGCCTTAATTCACAATTTTATTGTGAGGCACAATAAAAAGAGCCTAGCAAATTCAGAGGTCCAGCACTCACCCGATGGGCAGTATTTGAGGTCACTGAGTAGAGAGCTGGTTGGTGCCTCTGGTGCAGGTGAAGCAGGCTCACATACAGTTAGGTCTTCATCTTTCATTTTCTCCATTCCAGCTCTTTCTGTATTTATGCTATCCTTACAAAAAATCATATTCAGATGAACTTGTCCTTTGTTACCGATGCCATGTATAGATCTCCCTACTCGTTAGCAGCAAAGACTGCAGCCCATTTTCTACACTGCTCACATCCACTGCTTGAGGTGCCACCTAGAGACAGACACACTGACCTGCTTGTTTTTAGTTCCTTAGACCATTTGAGAAGTAAGCAGCTAGTGGACTAGAGTTAAGTCTGTCTCCTCTACTGTGCTCACTTGGAAAACCTCACAGTGAAGAAATTGTCTCGTAATACCTAACAGAAGATGCCTTTTCTCCTGATGCATCTTGTTCTGCTTCATCCATTAGTTCCACTGAAAAACAACCAGAAGATTTTCAACATTTTCCAGCAGAAAGCCACCAGCCACTCCACCCCACACACCGTGCTCAACTGCAGACTATAAATGGGTGGAAAGCAGAAAAAACAAGTTCATGTACACAGTACTAAAGACAAGACAAGTCCTATTTTCTTTCAAATGCCTGAATGAAGCAGAAAAGTAAGTTTTCTATGGCAGATTCCAATTAGCGATTAGGGAACATAAAACTTACCATTCAAAATCTCATGCCCAAAAAACATTTTCACTCCTGGGACACTCCGGCCTGTCTCTACGTTCTTCACTGTGATAGAAAAGAATCTTCACAGATAGAAAACTGTGTCTAGTTAATAACACATACTATTTCCCCCAAAACCGCAAGAAACTGTGAACTCTCTTAAAATTACCGAAATATGAGTTTTATATAAAAATCCCTTCTTCCTGGGCTGTGGAGATGGCTCAGCAGTTAAGAGCACTGGCTGTTCTTCCAGAGGACCTAAGTTCAATTCCCAGCACCCACATGGTAGCTCACAACCATCTGTAATGAGATCTGGTGCCCTCTTCTGGCCTACAGGCATACATGCAGACTGTATATTTAATTTTTAAAAAATTTTTAAAAAAATCCTGCAGGGTGGTGGTGGGCACACGACTTTAATCCCAGCACTCGGGAGACAGATCTCTGTGAGATTGAGGCCAGCCTGGTCTATATAGCAAGTTCCAGATCAGCCAAGGCTATATAATGAGACCCTTCTAAAAGGGAAAAAAAAAAGAAAAAAAAAAAAAAAAGAAACTAAAAAGAAAAAAAATCCCAATTGCTGGAATTAAAGACATGTGCCAGCCCAGCAGTGGTGGCCCCATGTCTTTAATCCCAGGAGTCAGGAGGCAAAGTCAGGCAGATCTCTGGGAGTTTGAGGCCGGCCTGGTCTAAAGACAGGCTAGAGCTAAACATAAAAACCCTGCTGCAAAACAACAATAAAAAAGACATGTGCCACTACACCTGTCCTGTGTGGGGTTAGGGTTTGAACCTCAGGCTTTCTGTGTGTTAGCCAAGAACTCTACCAACTGAGCTACATCCCCAGCCCTGGTTTGGGCTTTTGACATAGGTTCTCATGTATTCCAGGCTGGCTTCAAACTCATTATGTAGTTGAGACTGGCTGGCCCTGAACTCCTGCCTTCTGGACTTCTTTTTGTCTGAGACAAATTAATTCTTTATATCTGTGATTTTTCCCCTTCTGTTGAAGCCAAAAGCAATTTCAATAACAAGATTAATTTCAATATTCATGTAAACAATAATTAACAGAAGTTCCCAAATTTTAGAAATATATATTGATAACTACCACCCTCAGGGCTGGAGAGATGGCTCAGCAGTTCAGAGCACTGAATGCTCTTCCAGAGGACCTGGGTTTGACTCCCAGCACCCATGTAACAATTCACAACCATCTGTAACTCCGGGGGGTCCTATGTCTTCTTCTGGCCTTGGAGGGCACAGACATACATGCAGACAAAACACTTACATTCATTAAGCAAATAATTAATAAAAAAGAAAATTTCCACTATAATGTCAGTGAGAGTACACAAGTGAGGACCACCCAATACAGGTAGCCATGTTGCTCTGCTAGGGAATAGTATTCTAGTATTTTTCTCATACCTCTCTTAAAATAGGAACAACACTGCTTTCCTAGCTACTAATGCTGCCCACAACCATCACCCACACGCAGCTGCTAATCTCTTAAGGAAGCAGAAGAAAATGACAAATAGAACCCAACCATTTTTTAGGACAACAATCTTGTTAGGATCCACATGCTGGAGCACGCCCTCGAAGATGCCAGAAACCAAGGTGAGTTTCACTTTTCTCCACAAAATGTGGTTGAGGAAATGGTAGTCACTGCTGGGATCCATGCTCTGTGATTCCAAAAGCAGACTTCAAAGAATCTTCGTCAAGCATCCAAACACTTAAAAATTAACAAAGAGATCATTATTTTGAAAAGACTATTTTGATCTTGTATGGTAGTGCACATCTTCCATCCTGAAGACCGAGGTAAGGGTGATCTCTGACTGCAACAGCTTGGTCTACATAGTAAGTTTCAGGCAAGCCAGGGAGACCCTGTCTCAAAAGTTTCAAAAGTTTGGTTATTTACCATTTCTCCAAATTTCTTTTTCTTGTTTTCTTTTTTTTTGGGGGGGGGGCAGGGTTTCTCTGTATAACAGGTCTGGCTGTCCTGTAATTCCCTTTGTAGACCAGGCTAGCCTCAAACTCACAGAGATCCACCTGCCTCTGCCTCCCAAGTGTCGAGATTAAAGGTGTGCACCACCACCACCACCTGGTGGTGCATTTCTCCAAATTTCTAAGGCAGTGGTTCTCAACCTGTGAGTTGTGGCCCCTTTGTGTGTGTGGGGGGGTATTAAAAGACCCTTTTACAGGGGCTGAATATCAGATATTTTACATATATTTACATTACGATTCATAACAGTAACAAAATTAGTTATGAAGTAGCAACAAAATAAAATTATGGTTGGGGGGTCACCACAACATGAGGAACTGTATTAAAGGGTCGCGGCATTAGGAAGGTTGAAAACCACTGCTCTAAGGGATAAGAAGAGTAGTTTGGTTTTGTTCCTTATTTTAGAATACTAAGAAGAACCACAGCAAGTACAATTTTATTTATTTTTATTTTGTGTACAGTTGTTTTGCCTCCATGTATGTCCCTGCACATTAGTTTAGTGCCCGAGGAAGCCAGAAGAGGGCGCCAGATCCCCTGAAACTGGAGTTGCTGATGGTTGCTGGGAACTAAAGCTGTGTCCTCTGAAAGAGATCTTAAGCACTGATCTCTCCAGCCCCACAATTTTAATTCTTATGTAGGAAACTCAAAACTGTAGGGCTCTGGGCAAGGCAAGATTAGCTTTTTTGTTTATAAACTGGGCATGGTCAGTGAAGGATGTGGAAGAGAGGAAGCCGAAAGGTTTTTAAGAGCCAGAGGGGAAAGATGACTCTAGACACAAGGGGACTGAGGAAAACAGGAACTCACAGACTATGGCAGCATGCACAGGGACTGCACAGGTCAGCATTGAGAGGGGAGGTGGACACCAGCTCCCATCTCTAAGAATCTATTTCCAGTTGACAACTGCTCACAAAGGAAAAGTTAGCTTCTCCAATGAAGGCTCACTGGGTATACAAACCACATTTAAGGGCAGGAAGACTCTGTGTCTAGTAGTACATGGCCTATGAAAAATGAACTTAATGGTATTTTTGGAAATATTGGACTTTTGCTTGTATACTATGGTTTCCAATTTTGTGTTTTTATGGACTTGGTGTGTTTCTTGTTCTTTTTGTTTTATTCTAGTTTGTTTATTTGCCTGGTTTTTTGTTTTGTTTTTGTATTTTTGAGACAGTATCTCTCTACGTAGCTCTGGCTGTCCTGGAATTCACTATGTAGACCATGCTAGCTTCGATCTCACTGAGATCTGTCTGCCTCTGCCTCCCAAGTGCTGGGATTAAAGGCGTGTTTGTTTTCTAGAGAAAGAGGGAAATAAGGAATGGAATTGGAAGTGTAGAGAGGTGGGGAAGATCTGGGAGGAGATAAGGGAGGGGAAATCATGATCAGAATATATTGTATGAAAAAATATTTTCAATTTAAAAAATGCACATGGTATCCCCTTTTTCATAACTAAATAGAAGCTTCTTACTTATTTTATTGAGATAAAGTCTTACTGTATAGCCCTGGAAGGCATAGAATTTGCTATAAAGACCAGCCTGGTATAGAACTCAATAGAGATGCACCTGCCTCTGTATCCTGGATGCTGCAATTTAAGAAATATGCTATGTCTGGTTCTCACTGAGCCAACTTCCCAGCTCCCAAGTGCTTTTTTTGTCTGTTTATACTTGTGATGCTGGGGACTGAACCCAGAGCCTTACACAGGTAAGCAAGCCCTCTATCACCAAGATACAGCCCAAGCCCCAGTACTGTGATTTTTTTCACTTTTACTTCTTTTATTTAAAATTTTTTTATTCATTTCTGTTTTTAATTTTAAAAGTTTTAGTTTATTATTATTGTGCTTTTGAAACAGGGTCTCACTGTGTAGCCCTGGCTGGCCTGGGATTCTTTGTAGGGTAGGTGGCCTTGAACTCACAAAGAGTGCTTTGGAGTGTTGGGATTAAAGGCATGTACCATGACACTGGGCCTTTATTATTATCGTTTTGTGTGTATGCGTGCTTTGTCTGCATGTATATCTGCGAACCACATGTGTGCAGCGCCCTCAGGAGCCAGAAGGTGCTGTTTGCATGTATATCTGCGAACCTCATGTGTGCAGTGCCCTCAGGAGCCAGAAGGTGCTGTTTGCATGTATATCTGTGAACCTCATGTGTGCAGCGCCCTCAGGAGCCAGAAGGAGCTGGAGTTACAAACGGTGTTGAGCCATCAAACAGGCACTGGGACCTGAATGCCAGTTCTCTAGGAGAGCAGCCTCCAGCCCCAGTACTCTTTTTTGTGTGTGGTTTTTTGAGACAGGGTTTCTCTGTGTAGTCTGAGCTGTCCTGGAACTCGCTTTGTAGACCAGGCTGACCTCAAATTGACTGACATCAGAGGCAAATGATCCAGCTGCCTCTGCCTCCCAAGTGCTGGGATTAAAGGTGTGTGCCACCATGTCCATCTATATTTTAATCCTTTAAGGAAGGGCTCTCAAACATACTGATACTTTCAACAAGCAGCACCTAATCAACCTACACAAGAGAAAAGAGGCTCCAGCACTCTCTCTCTGTTAGGCCCGAGATAGGCTTTCTCACTGACACTGGCGTCTTCTTGTCTCGATTCTCCACAGCACAGGGTTTCAGGTCTGTGTGTGGCCGTGCCAGCTTTCTAAGTGGGCACTGGGATCTGGATTCAGCTTTCATGTTTGAGCAGCAAGCCCTCTTGCTAAGCCATCTCTGCAGCCCTGTGACATAGACAACACACACATAGTAAGGCTAGGATGTTCAAAACTGAAAAGTTATGACATGCTTAGGAAGGAAGAAAATTGAAGACAGGTCAAAGGGGGCAGAAGAGACTGCTCAGCAGTTATGAGTGCTTTCTGTTTTCCACAGGCCCTGTTTAGTGTTTCCCAGCATCCACATTTGGTGGCTCACAACCCCCCTAACTCCAGCTCCAGGGCATAGGATGCCCTCTTCCAGCCACTGGTGAGAACACACACATCCCTCTCACACACAAGTACCACTTTTTTTTTAAGTCCCCCCCCCCCCCCCAAGACAGGTTTCTCTGTGTACCCTTGGCTGTTCTGGAACTTATTCTGTTAAAATCAGGCTGGCCTCAAACTCAGATCTGCTTTCCTCTGCTTCCAAAGTGCTGGGATTAGAGGTGTGCACCACCATTGCCCAGCACACAAATACCACTTTTAAAGGTTAAAACAAATCAGAAAAAAAATCCCACATAGCAAAGAAATTTTAGTTACTGCTTTTTGTTTTTAGACAGGATCTTCCTGTTGTATATTTGGTTTGTGTTCTGACAAATGAAGCTTGCTGGAGATCAGAGGGCGGAGCTAGCCACTAGTTAATCATAGAGACCAGGCAGTGGTGGCACACACCTTTGATCCCAGTACTTGGTAGGAGGAAGCAGGAATCAGACAGGAATATAAGGTGGGTAGAGACAGGATCTCCTGCCCATTCAGTCTGAGGTTTCGTGGAGACAGAATCTCCTGCCCACTCAGTCTGAGGTTTCGTGGAGACAGGATCTCGCCCCTATTGGAGCTGAGGATTCAGAGAGGTAAGAGGTGGCTGGCTGCTCTGCTTCTCTGATCTCCAGGCAAGCCTTATTTGTCAGAAGATAAACAAAATATCACACATCTTCCTGAGTAGCCCCGGCTGGACCGGAATGCCCTATCTAGACCATGGTGACCTTGAATTTGCAAAGATACTTCTGCATCTGCTTCCTCAGTGCTGTGATTATAGACATTAGCCACCAGACCTCACACAAAGGGTTTAACTGGATACAGTTATCAAAATTTATATTAAAAATTAGGAGGGAAAAAAATGTCAGGATGAAGAGATGAGCTTCTAGGCCAACCAAGAAAGGGATTATGCATGTGTCTGACATCAAGATTCCACATCACATTAATGGGCTTCTTAGACTGCCATATCCAAAACGTTACTGTCAGCATAGGAAGGCTGATCTCAGATGGGGTAAACAAGGGGTTAATTAGGAAACAACTGAGTCAGACTAGAACTTCAGTGGACAGAGGAGCCTTGGGGACTGAGGCTGAGCTGCAATGGCCTAAGTAACTTTGAAGCTAGGAGCCTGAGGCAATTTGAGAAAGGTGCTAAGATATTTCGGTACTAAGTTGATGAGAACTTCTTCCACTTCTCAAGCTGGTTCTAAACAAAGGGGTCAAGGGGCAAGACAGGTGATGCCATGGGAAGACCACTGCTTCACTTGAGAGAGTGTATACTAAGATGTGGCTTTTAACCTTTTCTTTAGCAAACAAAAAAATACCATAAAAATAAAATGCAAACTGGGCAGTGGTGGCGCACGCTTAATCCTAGCATTTGGGGAGGCAGAGGTAGGCAAATATCTGAGTTCGAGTGTAGTGGTATTTTACTTGTACTGAAATGTGATTTTAATTGTATGTTAATAAATAAAGTTGCCTGGGGGTCAGAGCTATTAGAGCCATAGCAAGTGCGTGGCGGCGGTGGCGCACACCTTTAAGGACCTGGAGGGCGGTACATACAGGCAGTGACGAGGCAGTCACATGTTTGGGTTTACAACCAATGAGAAGGCAGAACAGCTAGACTATATAAAGACATACACACAGGAAGTAGCCCCCTTTCGGAGAGCTCTCTTGGCTGAAGAGGATCCCTGAATCAGGAAGGGTGAGGCTCTTAGCTCTGACCTCTTGGCTTTCTTCTCTGAATCCGCTCTGTGTTTCTTATTTAATAACAGTTGGTTACATCTACATTCGAGGCCAGCCTGGTCTACATACTGAGTTCCAGAACAGCCAGGGATACACAACCCTGTCTCGAAAAACAAAAACAGGAGGGGAGGGGAGGGAAGAAGGGAAGGGAGGGGGAAGGGGAGGGGAGAGGAGGGGCGAGAGAGGAGAGAGAAATAAAATGCAGGATCCGCATAGAGGCTCAAGTGTGTAATTCCAGCCATTTAAGAGACCGAGACCGGCCAGGGCTCCTCTGGAAAAAGAAAAGTATTTCCCCGAGTCTAGGAAGGGTTTTATGGGCCCAGGCTGGCCTCAAACTCGCTACCTGCAGCATGAACTCCTAATCCTCCAGCCTCCACCTCCTGGGATTACAAGCATGGTATCAATGAGTGGCAACAAACAAACAAAACTCCTTGAACAGGATTTCCCAGTATTTCTTAGGCTTTGCTCAACTCGCAACTTTCCTGCTTTCACCTACCAAGTGCTGGCTCACGGTTTAAAAACCCTCACTTTTAAAACAAGATAAATTTCAAAGTGTAAATGACAGTCCCTGCTCGAGGTATTCACTCTCCCTCACCTTCTCACCTGTAGGGTCCTCTACCACTCACCCCGACTCACCCCCGGGCAAAGAAATTTGGGAAATCCGGACCTTAATGTCAGTCAGATGGTGAGTTCCTCCAATTGACGAGGAACTACCGTTAAAGAAGAAATCTGGGAGTTATCTTGGCACAGCCTTGACACGAACCGGATGAAAGCTCGCAACGCCAGCCGCCGAAACCGCAGAGCCTACTGCGCCCACGGGGCGAAGGAGCTGCAGCTTTCCGGAGCAGCCAATCAGCTTGCGGCCCCGAGCCCGGCTCCCAGCACCCCCTTACGGCGGAGCGCCGGAAAGACGCAGCCAATCGGCGTGCGGCCGCCAGCGCCCTCCAGCGGCCAGGGCGGAGAGAGCAGAAAAGATGCAGCCAATAGGCGTGCGGCCGCGAGGCGGCTGCCGGCGCCCTCCTGCGGCCGGAGGTGGGGGAGCGCAGGAAAGACGCAGCCAATCGGCGTGCGGCCCCCACCCCAACACCACCGACCTACTCTGTGGCCAGGGGAAGGACAGCGGGAGTGGGAGAGGAAAAAGGACCAGAGACTGAGCGAGAGCAGGAAAGACTGCGCCAGGCCCAGGCGGGGGATCCACCCTAGGCTTTTCCCCACTCGTTCTGTCGGTTTTGTTTCTCCTCAATTCCTGTCACCTGGAGGAGGGTGGGATTCCTGGCGTTAAGAGTCCTCAGAGAAACCTGTGGGTTACGCTGAGCGTCTGCCTCTGGTTTGTCGGAAGACGGCGGCTCGGCGGCGGCACTGCCCTTTTAATTGTGGTCGCTAGCGCCACCCCGGCATCGCCGTTTTAAGGCCGGCGGCAGCGGTGGTTCCGGGGGCGTGGCCTGCCTCCCTTTGGACTCCCGCAGCCGCCGGGCTGATTCATTCCGGGCTCGAGCGCCAAGCTCTGACGTTGGCGCCTGCGCAGGGCGCGGCCTCGCTCCCGATTGGCTGGTGTCGGGCCGCCCTCCCCCGCGCGCCACCCCTGGTTTCCCTCCCCGGGCCGCAAGAGAAACAGTGCCCTCTCCCTTCTTGACCCCTGGCCCTTCCCTCCCTCCTCCCCTCTTGCCGCCGTAGCTTCTGGCGCTGCCGCTCCCGAAGGAGCTCCCGCCACGGTGATGGGGTCTCGGGCCTCCACGTTACTGCGGGACGAAGAGCTCGAGGAGATCAAGAAGGAGACTGGCTGTGAGTTCGGGTTGGGGGGGTGGGAAGGCGGCCGGGCGCCTCCGGCTGGCCTCAGTAACTGAGGGCGGTTGTCGCTGCGGTCTTGATCTGGGTGCGGTGACTTTGTTGGGAGGGTCCCGTGCAGCCTCTGGTGTTTGGGGTCGCCGAAGGCTAGGGTACCTGTGCGTTCATCTGTAGCTTCTCGGAGCCGGGAAGTGGCTCCTCTAGTGCTGTCTTGCCTCAGAAGCCCGGAATCTCGGTCCAGCCACGGAGCACAGACGCCACCACTCCACTCTTGCCCACGAAAGTCGGCAAATTTTCTTTCTTTATCGTGCCTCTTACAGAGGCATCCTGAACAGCAGGTAAAGCAGAAGCAAATCCAGGAAATCTGAATGGTTCCTGGAGAAAACGTAATACATACCAATGAGGTTTCTCGGCAAGGACCTAGAACTGCTAAAATCACACGTAAGGAAGAATAAACTCAGGAAAGAAGATCGTATAGTAAGGCTTGTGACCAGGGACTGGAGACCTCTAAGCAATCAGGAGTCCGAAAACCTGAGACTTTTAAATCTGAACTGTTAGAGAAAAAGCACGGGTATAGTGACCAAGTTTTTAAAGATACAATGAGGACACTTGTCCTGTTTTCATACATATTAATTTCTGCTATGTTGCTGTATCTTATGCAGTTGATATTGAAACTGGATGTATTCCAAAATCTGTGAGTTTGTACCAGGAACAGATTTTTTTTTTTTAAATATATACTCTGGGTTCTTCTTTATTAACCTGAACGAAGGAGCAACAGGGGTTAAGGAATTCAGACACACTGAGCACACCACCAAACCTTTGAAAAGCCCTTGATAATGTATGACACAATTGTGTTGCTCCCATGCTTTCTTAGTGATCCTTGTGACTTTGTTGAGTTTTGTAAGCTGTATCTTCGTGGTACCTGTGTTTGACGATAGTGTGAGCACCAAGTAACACAATGGCAAATAGTACTGAGGGATTACTGGGCGAATTACAGAATCCTCCAGGAATGGAGTCCTTGGATAAATTAAAAGTTGCCCTGGCTGTCTGACAAGTTCAACTTTCTAGAGTATTCAAGTTGGGAGAGATGTTATCTAGCCCCACCTCCTACCCGCATTGGTTTGCTTCCTCCACCGTAGTACCTTACTAACACATATGGCTGCCAAGCTTTGCCAAGATCTTTAACCACGATGACCTACCTCCTTAACCAAGGTGATCCTTTTCACAATTTTGAGCGGATGGCAGAAATTACTTAGCTTTTTATAGCTTTTGTTTGGCTACTCAACTTTATGGACATTTCATGACTTATTCTGATTCCATGAGTAGAAATGGATTCAGCTGGATTCAGCAAGCATTTTACTACATTTTGTGGCCATGACCTCTGACCACACTTGTAAACATAATGACTTCTTTACATCTAAGGTGACAACCAAATTAAAGCATCTGTGTTTCAAGCACAGAGTCACATCATGAGGAAGTGTAGTGAGTAGGCACAAGCTCTTGTTTTGTTTTCTTTTGTTTTTTGACACAAGGTCTTATTGTGTAGCCCAGACTTGCTTAGAATTTACTACATAAACTGGTCCTGGTGATGCATACCTTTAGTCCTGGCAGAAGCAGGTGGATCTCTGAGTTCGAGGCCAGCCTGGTCTACGTAACACGCTCCAGAATAGCTAGGACTACACAGGGAAACCCTGTCTTTAAAAACAAAACAGCCAGGTGATGGTGGCCTTTAATCCCAGCACTCGGGAGTCAGGGGCTGGTGGATCTCTGTAAGTTGGAGGCCAGCCTGGTCTACAGAGCAAGTTCTAGGACAGCCAAAACTACACAGAGAAACCCTGTCTCCAAAAACAAAACAAAAAAGCCCAAAAAACAAAACAAAAACAAAAAGTTTCTTTACATAGCCCAGGCTAGTTTCAAACTCATGTTCATCCCCCTGCCTAAGCTTCCTGTGTGCTAGGATTCTAAGTATAAGCCATTATGCCCAACTGGGGAAAAAGCTGTTTTTGCTTCAGAGTCAATGGAACAGTAACATCATTCCAGTTTCTTTTCATTAGTCCTGGCTGTAGGTCTGAGTTCTTTCACCTTGTGACTCATGGACAAACCTAAGTAATCATGGACGAACTATTATCCTGGTTACCCAAGAGTGATTCAAGTATGAGAAAGATTGCCACTAAAACCAGTGTATGTGTTGATTGGGAAAGCCCAATGAAACAAGTACTGAAATTTTGCAGTGTCTATCTAATATTATGCTAGATATTCAGAGCAGATGGTGACAAAAGACACCCACAGCCTGGCTGGGGAGATAAGCCAGAGAGTTATGATTAGCATCAGGACATAAGGAAGCTGAAATCCTGCAGCACCCACCTTCAGAATTTAGGGAACAGTCGTGAGCTGGCCTTGTGGAGTACAGGAGTTGGATCTTGACACATAATGAATTAATTTTGGCTAAGTTAACCTAGGGTGTCTCAGTGTCCCAGCAACTGTTAGTCCTGTTGGCTACAGGGTCAGTCCTTTACCCTAAAGACTGAGCTGTGAGTTATCTCCTTAGTACCCTTAGCAGAGGTTTGTTTCCTTTTCTTTTTCTTTCTTTCTTTTTTTTTTTACCTTTGACAGGTTCTTTTGTAGCCCAGACTGACCTCAAATTTGAGATCCTATTGCTTTAGCCTCCCAAGTACTGGAATTACAGGTGTGTCAACCCCACAAAACACCTTTAATCCCAGTACTCGGAGGCAGAGGCAGGTAGATCTCTGAGTTCAAGGCCAGCCTGGTCTACAGAGTTAGTTCCAGGACAACTAGGGTTACACAGAGAAACCCTGCTTGAAAAAAACAAAGTGGGGCAAGGGAGCCAGATGTGGAGGCAGAGGCAAGTGGATCTCCCAAGTTCCAGGCCAATCAGAGCTACACAGTGAGACCCTGTCTCAAAAAGAAAAGAAACACTTTGTTGTTATAAAACACCTACTATATTTGGCCTTTGTTCTATCACTTTCTTTCACATTTCTACATTTTTATAAGTCAGCACATTTGAATGAAAGATGTAATTGGAGGGAGGTCACAGTGTCTTAGAAATTTCTGTAATGACCCTTAGTTCACTTAACCATAGGAATAGCTTGGCTGTAGTTTGCGAGAAATCTTAACTTTGAGCAAAGGTTTATGCCAGCTAAATAGTGGTGAATACAGATTGGTTTATTTTTAGTTTCTGCCCTCTGTGTGTCGTGTGTGTATGGGCAGGGTGTTGTACAGGGTTAGAAGTTAGTTGTACAGACCAGTGGGTTTTGTTTGTTTGGAAGGGTGTAGTGATGCAATGAAAGGTGTGGGTCTCCAGTTCCAGCAGAGTTCAGCCCTGACAAAGGCAACTGCTTGAGGACGGTTTCTTGAAATGGAGCTTCTGGGTCCTCCTGCCTCCTTCTGGGTCCTCTTGCCTCCTTCTGGGACCTCCTGCCTCCTTCTGGGACCTCCTGCCTCCTTCTGGGACCTCCTGCCCTTCCCCGTCACACCACATTGATTCTGTGGGTGCAGAGGACCCTCCTGTCTGGTCTCCTATTGAACTGGAAATACACAGATGATATCTTCAGCAAATTATTATTTGGAATAATTTGTAAGGTTCTGTACCCTTTAGTTTTCTTCCAGAGTTCCAATTTCTGTCTAGAAAGGGATAAGGAGAACTGTGTGTCGAGATAGGGAACAGAACTCTGAAGGAGTAGAACCTTATGAATGAGGAAGGGGGTTCAGAACATAGACTATTTGAAAGTTTACATAGAAATTCACTGCCCCTAGAAGCAGCTGCAGAGATAGAAGCTGTCTTCTGAGTTTAAGCAGAAAAACATTACGCTCAAAACAGTAATACACGTGTTACATGCAATAAACACTATTATGGAAGAGCCAGAGCAGGTATCTTAGGTTGTATGTAGGAAAAGGCAAATGTATCATGACCTGGCCTGAATGTATCAGATTCGGGAGATTAGAATTCATACCAGATGTGGTAGCTTATTTTATGCCTGTAACCCCAGCACTAGGGAGGCTAAGATCAGAGGGTTATGAGTTTAAGACCAGACTAGACTGTATAGCAAGATTAGACTGTATAGCAAGATACTGTCCTTTTGCTGGCCAGATGGCTTCTCCGGTAAAGGTGCTTGACACCAAACCTGATGTCCTGAGTTTGATTCCCAGGACCCACATGGTGGAAACTCTGGCAAGTTGTCCTCTGACCTTCACGTGTGGGCCGTGGCACAAATCCATGTGGACACATGTGTGCATACACACACATAACTATAATTTTTAAAGTAAAAGGAAGGAGCTGGAGAGGTGGTTCAGCAGTTAAGATTGCTTGCCATTCTCACAGAGGACCCAAGTTGGTTCTCTGCACCTACATGTCAGCTCACTATTCTCTGTAACTCCCTTTTTTAGCCTCTGTTGGCACTAAGCACACACAGGCTACACATACGTACATTCTGGCAAAATAAAATAAAAAAAAGAAATAAATCTTACAGTCTCAAACAAACAAAAAAACTTAAGAGTTCAGATTTTGTACTGTAAACTTTCAAATATACAGAGAAGTTGAAGTAAATGACCACCAATACTTGTTCTTATTTACTACATA